TATATTATAAATGTATGTATACCATAATGATATAATACCTGTTCTATATACGATAGAGTAGTTAGTTCCTTCAGGTCGAGAGAGAGCATATTATTGTGATTGATCTACCGGTAATGCGGTTTTAGAGATCGAAGCTCTGGCCTTGCTAGCGGTATTCGGTCTTGGCAAAGGCATGGTAAATAATGAGTCCCAACGACTTGCCGCAGGGGTCTTGCGAGACTTCAACCCCTAGGGGGTGTATTCATTTCCAATCACCACTGGATACTACTTGAATCAGTTTTAATTTCTCTACGAGAAATATATTGTCTTATGACACTTTGGTGGGTTCAAACCACTACAAGCATTTATCATATTATAATTATGAAGTTCGCGTTTGGTTCTCGACTTTCGTTATACGAACAAAATAATTTCGTATTGGTAGATTTTTAATTAATTCGGACTATTGCGCAGTCGTAACCTCATATACCAAAAAATTATATACACCACACCATTTGTTGTATAATTTAACTGATCTACCCTTTTTACTAAAGTATTGATTACTATTATATCAGAAATAATCGTTATTTAAAAGGGGACATTAATAAAAAAATATAATTTGTAATGTATGCTTCATCTAGATACAATTAGGAAATCATTTTTTTACAAAAACATAAAAAAAAACGATTAAAAAATGTTAACAACTAATAATTAATAGATACCTTAATCTCTGAAGTTCTAACTGCCGAGTAGGGTCCAAGTGTAGGGTTTTCTGTAAAGTAATTGTCCCTAATAAGTAAATCATGTTTCCTTGCTAAAAATAATAATTATAAAATATGTTTTTTTGCATATCTAACTAAAGATTAATTTGATCGTGTTTTTCATGCGTGGTCAAATTGTTTTCGGATATAAAAATGCGATCTATAACGACATGTACATTTGCATGGTGACTTAATATGCTGAGTTACCAAAGCGTAATATTGGTGTTGACAGAATACATTAGGATTTAGGTGGTCAATAAAAGGGAAAGACCACAAAAAGAGTTACTCCTATGTGTATCCAACACAATCTCTTAGCCACTGCCATAAAAAAACGTAGTAGGTAGGTATATACCTTTTTCTAATATATTGTACGAAGATAATATGAGATTTCAAGAAAATATTGTTTTATTTGCTAAATAAGGCCTTTAAAAACTGAATTTAAGTTTAAATAAAATAAAAAATAAAGTTAACTACATATCTGTATATGTATCGAGTTTTTTTTTTGTGTTTTACTGGGCCGCCAATGAGCAAATTTAAATAGCGAAAGCAAAAGAAAATGAGCCCATAAATCATTTTATAATTATTGTTTGAGCTCTTCACCCAGTCTTAAGAATTATTTCAGCGCCTACCACATGCTGTGAGGATGTGGATTACCTGTATTTATAATAGATAATGCCCTACCGACTCTTTGGACCAATACATACCTATTATATGTCGTATGTATATTCCACACGTAATACATAACCAATAACTCACCTTTTAGGTAATACGCGATAAAGAACTACTATTATTTGGCAATTTCTTTTTTACTGGAAGGCAGTTCATTAAAAATGAACAACTACCTGCTACTTCATTAAAATGTAAAATAGAGATTGTAGTAAAGGAATAAATAAACAAACAAGCAAACCGAAAAGACACTCGCCTACTAAAAAAACCTGTTCATTGCGAACACGTGTTTCGCCACTTCTAATAAAGTGAGCATTTAAAGTCACGCGTTGACACCACGTTAAAAGTAGCCGAAAAAAAGCCGAGTCCCTTTTTGGTTTATTTATTTGTGAATTACTTGAATTTAATTATTGTAATCTTTTAAAGCAAGTACCTATAGGTACATAATGTATAATAAATAGCTTTTGGACTTTTTGAAGTATGGAAATGGCCAGGGTCTATTTATTATTTTTTTTTTTAATGGGAAATAAAACACTTAGTCAAATACTTAGTAATATTTACTAAGCCGATGGGCTATACATTAATTAATAATAAATAACGTTTATAAGCAGCTTTACACTACAAATAAGATTTATTTATATTGTTCTCGTACATAGTTTAGCAAATACGATTATTAACAATTAATTGGAGACAACAGAATTTGATAAGGATTCNTATATATATATAATATATTATCACAATAAAGGAAATAATACAACCATTACCTTCCGAATTTATATGACGCCATATAAAAATTGTTATTAATTAGAGGTGGTATTTTTTTTATTTTCGAAAATAATAAAAGTTATATTGTAGTTCGGTAATTACTTGGAATCGTCTTACGTAAAATTGCTTTTATAAGGTCACTTTACTGTTGTGGTAACATAAAATGCATATTAGTTACTCCTTTTAAAAGTTATTAGCATATGGCGTCAAAATTCTTATCACTTAGTATTTTGAATTGATGAGAACATTTGCCTTTCTGAGGGCAGTCACTGATGATTTTTTGTGTATAGCTAAGTAATTACACATTTAGATTTGAACTGCTATCGTAGTAGTAATTTTTAATTTACATTTATAAATATTTACATTTATACACTTAAGACAGAAAGTATTTACAGACATATACACATCGTTATTGCACATTTAATACATACAATGTTCGAGAAGCGGACAAGAAAATTACACACTCACACACACTGGCGTTCAATTACTTTATTATTTATTACTTTTCTTTACGCATATTTTACGTACCTATAGGAAGTAGTTTTACAGACAACGAATACTTAGATTTCTTCGGTAAATATGTATTTTGTATGCAAATATATGTACAACTTCATCACAATAAATAAAAGAGATCACATAACCAATATATCAATTTACCGATAAACAATAACATTCGACATCTTTTTCTTTTACTACTTATCTGATAGTACAAGATCGATTAATTTAAAAAAATATAGGGGCCAAATAAGTTCTTCTTAAGTACATAATAATATAATTTTCTCGACGAGTTACATTGAATTATAAAAATTTTAATGTCACGTACTTTTTCGGTCTTCGTCCTTATTTTGCATGTTCTGCAACTCCCTTTCCGAATGAACGTTTCTTTTGGTCCGCGAAAGAAACACTTTAGGGCAACCTTTGTTCGTACACCTGCACATTTCGAGTAAATGGTTTTGTTCGCAATGTTCTTTAAGTTGCATCGCACTTTTAAATGATGTTTTGCATAATTTACAAGGGAGATTCCCTTCTTTGTCGGGAGTTGGAAGATCTTCCTCGATGCAATGGACGAGTTCTGAAAAGTTACATGTTACATACGAAGGGGGTGGAGATAGAATTGGTGAACTTGATGCCGAAGATTGATCTTTACTTAACGGTGCAGCCCCGTTGAACTGTTTCAAGCTATTCAGTCCGCCCAAAGGAAACGGAAGGTTTCCTAAAGGTGGAATTAGAAAAGGAGGTGGAGGAATTCTGTCACCATTCAAAAGCATTTGATCGAAGTTGCCCGGATTAGCCAGATTGTGGGGTTTCATAGCCTCTTCGATGTAGAATCGAGTGAAAAAATCGTTAGGAATTTGACTGTTTGAAAGTGGATTAAACGAAGATTTTTCTAGCAGCAAACTGGCTACGGTTTTTTCAGTAGTGGTGGATAATAATTTTCTATGCAGATTCAGATTGGCACTGTGACGATCTCTGCTCCTTTTCGACGGAAATGCTGCATTACATCCGTCCACATTGCATTTGTGCATTAGTTTCAAATGCACGTTTTGATAGTGGGTCTTTACCCCAAAGTGATTTTGAAAGATCTTTCCACAAGCGGTACATTTTCTCGGATTGTCTTTATCTATTGGAACATCCATGGTACTTATAAATTGGCCGTTATCGAAATGCCCAAAGTAATTTTGACTGTTTTCGTCCATGGATTCGCCGCTGTTGGACGTTGAAGATGCCTGAGAGCGCGCGGGACTAGGTGGTCCACCTCCTACTGAAAGACTCAGAGGTGAGAGGTTCGTTGTCTGACTGTTAAACCCCGGTGGTAACCCTCTGCTGAGAAGCTCCCCAAAATTTCCATGCGAAAGACTTTCGAGATGCCTCAACGCGTTAGACGAATCAAAAGATTCGTCACTTCTGTTACTTTCAATTGAGCTTTCTGGTCGTTCGTAGTGTTCTGTGTTTTCACCTTCTCCTAGGTTTTTTTCTTTTTTTATTTTATCGCTATGATACAATGGCGCAAGACTAGTTTTAATCTCTGAGTTAATAGGCGTTTCAGTTTCATTGGGACTATTTCGACTATGTTTCCCTAAATTCAACGGTGAGTCCAGTGGCTTTGGCGTTTCACGCTTTTCAGTTCTTTCTTCGTTATCGTCGACATCGTTTAATGGTTTCAGTTGCTCTTTAGAAGTGTCCCTAGCGAAAATATTATCGGAAGATTCTCCATCACTGACATCGTTATCTATTATCATCGGAGCCGTGCATTTTGTCGGATTTTGGCTTTTTCGTTTTCGCTTGTTCGTAGGGGCATTTGAATCACCTTTGTAACTATGAGTGTCGACTAAACTCAACGAATCGTCGTTACTATCGACGTTACTGACCAAATCTTCATCGACATCCGACACGGACATTTTTTGTTTCTTGAGTGTCAACGCAAAATATTCCTGTCTGTCCGGTTCCTCGTTCGACGGCTCGTTCTTTTCAGACTCTTCTTCCTCTTCACCTCCAACCACGATAATCCCATCGTCGTAATCATCATCGTTTTCTTCATTCTGCCTGTTTGTTGTAAGTTCTAAAGCGTATTCTTCCGAGTTGGTTTTTTCTTTATGTTCTTTCCTGATTTCATCAGATATAATCGATCGATGCAAACTTAAATCTAAACTATGTTTAAAATCTAACGCAGCTAGCGCAGAGTGATGTCTAATATCAGGTGGAGGAGTTAGAAGTGGAAATGCTCCAAATGGATTGAGAGCATTCAGTGCGGATGTCGGTAACGGCAATCCAGTTTGAGAGGGTATTAGTATAGGATGGGCTTGAGCACTCCTGCCATCATGAGGAGATATCTTCCGACGAAGATGTGGGGAATGTAATTTGGGATTAGGATTCGCACTATGTCTATTACGTGACCTTCTTGAACTGAACATCATGTTACAACCCTCCACCGTGCACTTGTGCATTTCGCGTAAATGAACGGCCGAAAAATGAATTTTCAACGCGCCTTTATCACAGAATGTTTTTAGACACACATTACATTGCACCCGCTTTTTTCCCGTTGTCGGATTAATAAATTGAGTACCCAAATTAAGCGGTAAGGCTGGCGAACCCCACTGTCTTTTCGATGGTAACGTAGGTTTTCTTCCCGGTATAGACGAGGTCCGGGGAACTCGCGGAGCCACTTTAACTGGATCTTTATCGCGACTTAGATTAAGTACGGACTGTGTGTTGTCGTTGTCGTCATCTTCGGAACCAATTTCACTATTACTTGTAACAGATTTACTTTCGATCGAAGAAGCCAACCCGGAAAAAGATGACGGCACTAGGCTGGGCGCGGTAACACTGCTCGCCGACACAGTCGCGACCATTGCTGGCGATGACGGGTGATTAACAGAAGATGGTATAAGAGTAGATGTTGGTATCGGAGGAGGACACATGGACAATGCTGAGGACATCGAAAGATTTAGACCACTAAACACCTCAGCCTCGGTTACTTTTCTCCTCGCCAAGTCGGGCGGAGAACATGCGTTGAATCCTGGAAGACCCGCGCCTAACTTTCGGAAATCGAACGGCTGCATACTTTGAAGCCTATTTAAAGGAGACGTATTGAGTGGACTGGAGTTGTTATTTTCCGGAGGTGGTGTCGATAATTGCGAGCCATTTGTTGTGGGTAAATTGAAAAACTTTAACGATTGCTTATGCGGAGAAAGAGGAAGTAGATGCGCTGGAAGAAACGTCGACGGTGGAAACGCTGGTGGTGAAGGGTGTCGATTGGGAGACATTGGTCGCCGCGAATTAAGGGCTGATCTATAGTCTAAGCGATCCAGCGCGGTTTCTTGGAGTACTTGCTGTGCAAGCATTAGCTGTTGAGTAATTAAACGCGTCTCCTCGAACCTTAAAAACTGTTGAAGCACCAATGGTTCTTCTTCAGGACTGCAAATGCTCCAACGGTCTAACCGTCCAGAACATGTTTCCTGTAAAAGTGACAGTACAAATTAGCAGTAGCGAACGCGTACCTGCAACTTTAAACAGGGGAAATAGAGAACCCAATTTTCTTTTTCGACTTTGGAGTATTGCCATTAAAAGCCTACCATTTAACTAAATTGAGGACGGTTAAATTTAGTAAATTAGGGTGTTAAAACTTGCAACCCGCTCGTTTGCTAAACACTCCAGTTCCTCGACTCCAAGACCAAGAGGTCGTACCTGATATATTAGTGCTATCATTACGGATTTACAAAGCAACTGTTTAGTTGAACCCGACCGAGATCGTTCATGCATGTCATTAGCTACCCAAATGTATACGACGTAGAAATTCGCCTATTTAAAAATAATAAAGCGCTCATTTTAGAAATTATACCTGGCACAAAATTATTGTGTCTCGTAAGAATGATATGCAAAACACTCTGTAATTTTGGTGTCTGTGATTTCGAATGCAACATATCGTTGCGCGAATTACGGACCTAATGTTTGAATATTTATGTCGGGTGGTTATGCATTCGTGCCAATGTACAGGTAGCTCCTTAATATACGAATGCATTAAGTATTTAGATAGAAACGCATTTATTTTTTCATGAAAGCCAATTTAAAAAAAGTTAGCGTATTAATAGGGTCCAACGCAAAAGGTTCACGCAAATTCCCAAAACAAAATTTCAACTATAGTTTATAGCTTCATCATCGGGCGTGAATCTTAATCTAAACGAAATGCGACGATGCAGAGAGAAGATTCCAAATCCGACGGCTACTCATTTCGTTTTGAATTCCGAAATGATATAATTAGATTTCCAACTTCATATCGAGAACTAATCGGTTTTTGTTCAATAAACCAATAAATATCTAGATACCTATATAAAACCACCTCATAATTTTTGAAAAGTTTAACTAGATTAGCCTCACGAAGTTATGCAGAGAGTTTT